GTAAGATAACCAATTAATGCTTAAGATTGTATCAAACATAAATGGTGGTAATATAATGAGCTCTGCTTCCAAGTCTTTATCACCAATAGTCAATTACACAAGGCATTTTTTATTTATTTCCAAATGAGTTTCATTTGGCATTGTTATAACTTAGTTGTTCATAACTATATTTTCATAGTATGTATGATTTTTATAATTCTAAATATTATTGTTTGATTACTCTTTATCTTAATATATTTGGGATATATTATTTTCATTATTTGTGTACTAACATTTCGAGGAAATTATACTTTACACTGTTGAAGACTTAAAGACCGATTATATTAGGGTTTAATGTAAATAGCATCTGTACTTTTTATATTTTTCTTGAGTCTGAGAGAGTATGATTGTAATTAGGGGGGAGTGTTAAAACTTGTAATTTTGAAAACTAATCGTGCTGTAAAATTTTGGATTGTATAGGACAATTTATCCAGCTAGTTCCTCCAGCAAGAAGTTAATCAAATCATGGACGAAAAAATTTTCTAAGTACTGTTCGTATTGTACAAAGTAACCCTTGTAGATGACATCCAGAGTATGAAATTGATGCAAATATTTTTGTCCATACGAATAGGTTAATTTTTTGAACAGTTCTTCTGAGACGATCTTGAGTTTGTACAGACGACGTCCAGAGTACGAAATTGATGCTAACATTTTCATCCATATGAACAGGAAAATTTTTTGAACTTTTCATCCTGGACAACCTTGAGATCATACAAATGATGTCCATAGTACGAAATTGATGTAAACATTTTCGTACATACGAACAGCAATAAAGAATGAACTAATAGTACGGGATGATATATGGTATATACTATATAATGTGCATATACAAAAATGTTTTGTACATGATCGTACGTGCAAAACTTTGAACTATTCATATGTATGATTGTCGATCGTACTATACGAATGTGGACGGTCAAAATTGAAATTTTCATTTTTCTAGACTATTTTTCATCCCTTTCCTATATAAGGTCCAATAAACTAACTTTGGATAAATTCTTCTTCATTTTTCTTAAGAGTAAAAATGTGAGAGTGACTTGGGAGAGTGATTGAGGGAGATTTCTTGCAAATTGAGAGTGTGAAGGGTTCACAAGGTTACTCAAAGGTGAGATTCTTTTTGTGTTTGTAGCAAATCTCTTCCTTACTTTTTTGAAGACGCTCGAAGGAAGATCTTTGAAGAAGATCTAGTTCTCTGCCGATACTTGGAGAGTGTGAAAGGATGCCATTTCTCTGCTGACACCAGGAGGGTGTGAAAGGATGCCGGTTCTCTGCCGACACTAGGAGAGTGTGATAGGGCACAAATTCTCTACCGACACTTGGAAAGTGTGAAAGGATGCCGGTACTCTGTCGACACTTGGAGGGTGTGAAAGGATGATGGTACTCTGCTGCACCGGGGATTGATGGAAGAGGGAGTAATTATAAAGGCTTCTCTGCCTTGTTGTGGGAGCAAAAGGAGAATCACTTTGATAATAGTGAAATACCTGAAGAGGGAGTCTTCAGGGAGTGGACGTAGGTCTAGTTAGACTGAACCACTATAAATTTTTGTGTTCTTTACTTTTTCCACAATTTTATTTTTCTACACATTTTTTCTTTAAGTGGTTAAAAAGTTTTATTTTGATTAAAACTTAAAGTAGTGGTGTCATTATTTTTTCGCTACTTTTATTTTTGTGATTTACTATTTTAAAACTATGGTTGAAAAACTATTTCTACAAAATTCATTAAAGTTTAATTTCGATTTAAAATACTCAAAAGAGGGATTAATTTTTTAAAATACCAATTCACCCCCCCCCCCTCTTAGTTAGCCATGGGACATAAACTTAGGCTTAACAACTTAATTCATAGTGAACGAGTTTCAACAATCTCTGCCTTTCCTTCAAAGTTATAAGTAGTTAGTATAACCTTCATATACTTTTGACAAGAGATACCTTATATAATTTTTTTATTCCTCATAAGCCAATTATCTGACTTTATCGGTCCATCGATTAATAATAAAGCGGGCCTCATATCTTGAAATAACTTAAGGTACTTATCCATAGGAGCATTCCCACTACCACTAGCCTAATAAATTTATAGTGGTTCATATGGAAAATTTAAAACCTTCATTACAATGTAACAAATCATAATAGTCTTCCAAGCAAAAATAAGAAAGAAACACTAACTCCAAATAATATTTTATTTCATCAATAAACATATACATATGAATCTACTACAAAAAGTACATGTCAATCTATTACATGTTTAAAAAAAAAAAAAAAAAAAAAAAAAAAAAAAAAAAAAAAAAAAAAAAAAAAAAACACGTCTCATGGCATTTTTTTATAATGATAGGTGAACGACTGTCTGCCAGCCATCACAGATTAGTGAACTCTCTTGAGAAGTATCCCACAACTAGGATGATCTAAAGCTCATTAGGTAACATGTTATTTTATCAATTTGAAAAAATAAGATAAAGAAACACATTATGCATGCTAATTTTATGGTACTGTGTAATGATAGACTAAAGAAAAAAATAATAAACGTATCATACAGTAGTAACTAGTGTGCCTAAGTCTATATGTCATCCTATATGATTCTTTTACTTTTCATATGTCTGTAACATTTTACATTTTTTATATTTTCTTGTATACTCTTTAAGAATATAATTTATTCTTATCTTATACATCTGTAATGGAGTATCAATTTATTACTGATTAAGTACACATTTAATTAGTCATTTCTTTTATTTTAGCCTGCTCCAAGAAGCCATATTTATCCTTTACCATTTTCCCTTACCTTTTTCATTTACCATATTGATAGTCCGGGCCAACATACACATGCAATCATACTGTAACTATCGTAGGAGGGTAGCTAACATTTCATTCAAACATGTCCTTACTTATCATAGCGTTTTCAAACATATGCATTCTAAACTATCCATCACAAGTTGTCAAAGTACATTGCATTTAAAGAAGAAAAATGCTATTGCTAAACTAAATAAAAATGCTAAAGTATATAAAACTTTTAAATAAAAACTTAAAGAAGAAGCAAATTATGAAATTAAAAGAATTACATTAACCTATCTCAGATATAAGCAAACAAAATCTTAGACGTGCGAAAATTATCATTTATCCTTTCAGCGTCTTTCCTCTCCCACTTCCAACACAATATATATATATATATATATATATATAACTTATATTAACCACAGTTCTTTTTCATTAATTTAGCATTTTTTTATATCATTATTTTCAGATTTTAAATAATTCCTAAATTTTTAAAATCCAAATTTTTTGTCTAATCCAATAAATTACCCTTTTTAACCCTTTCTAATTACCTAATTTAATTTAAAGTAACCTTAATTTTTAATTTTTTCTATAAAACCCCAAATTTGAAAATCTAAATTCCATTATTTTTATCAAATATTCATGTTGAAACCTTTATTTTACCTAATTAACATTTACGGCATGATTTTTTTTGGATTCCCTTTAATTAAAAATTAGGGAAAATTATAACAATGTGAAACATCTTAATTTTTATCCTTAAAAATATTCCTAAGTTTATTAGGAATAATAATTGTCAAGGTATTCTCAAAGAAATTGAATTTTAGAAAAAATCCTAATTTTAAAAATCTAAAAATTTTTGAAATAAAATAAAAATTAAGATTTAGAACTCAGAATTAAGATTCTCTAAACATCTCCTTTAAAATGTTAAAAATATGAAAATCCTAAATTTTTAACCTAAAAAAATCTAAGAAAAAAAGAAGAAATTTTTGATTTAGGATCATACCTTCTTCTTTCTTAAGACTTCCCTTTTGATTTCACCAAAAAAGCATCGTCTAAAACCCCTGACGCCACTCACCCTAAGCACTTTCCGCCACCCTCTCCCTCTCTTGCATTCCACATAACTAGAAAGCACGCATCGAAGTGAAAGAGCTGAAGGTTCGGTCCCTTTTTGGTTTTTATTTTTTTTTTAAGGCTGAGAGGTAACGGCCAAATATGAATGTACCCTTGCATTCTTAAAGTTTATTTAAAAAAGGATGAGTTATTTAGTAATTAGCCCTTAAATAAATTTTGCTGATTTTTAATTTCAAATCCATGTGGAATTAACCCTAAATCATTTATTGCAAACCAATTGAAATTTAAAATAGAATTTTATAAAATTTGTTCCGTCGAATTCCGACTATTTTAAAAATTTGTCTATTTTCATCGCAAATGCATCACAACGCTACAATTTGACATTTTTGGATTTTACAATGGCCCGAGAAAGATTTAGGTGTAGAGAGATTATCCTTTGTTTAGAATCACATGGGATTGAATTGGCTGGAGAAAGATTGGGTGTTACAAAAAAAAAAAGTTTGGACTAAAACATTATAAACTATATTTAGAATCTCAAATCAAATTACTTGTTGCAATAGCATCACCCAACCGTGACAAAGAAGTATACAGATGACTGCTTTTATTTATGGTGGCTAGATAACAGGAGTGATTCTCAATGAAGGCTCCACTAAACTTAAAGTTTATTAGGGTTAAAGCTGAAATTGGAGCTGAAGATTGAATGGGGATGGAAGCTAGAGCTCTACAATGGAGAAGAGTTTAAAATGTTCACTCAAAACCCATTGGAAACCAAGAAATTTATAGTACGATCGCAAGGCTCTTCTCACCTATTTCGATGTTAGCAATATATACTTCGGGGTGATAGCATCAGGTTTGGGCCACAAGAGTACTGCAAGTGTTCAAGAAATTTTAAAGACACTAAATTAAAATATCAAACACTTGTATTGACAACTTATACATTTTGATATTGCAACGACACTATTAGATTTCTCAGCTACTAGATTAATCCATTAAAAAAAATTCTTGTAATGCTTTGAATTAAAAATTAAAAGGTCATGTTTGCTTTTAATTTTAATGATATTATTGTAGAGAATGGGCAATCTTGATCTTAAATTTGATCACAACATCAAAACAAAATGAAAACATGTCATATAACTCATGAATATATATCTTAAATTTACTCTTTATTAACTATGAAGCCAGAAATAATGAAACCAGGGATAAAAGCAGTCATTTTCCACCCCAACTTCAATTCTTTTCGGAATTAAAATAAATAAATAAGTAGTTCTGCCAACATTTCAAGTCTTGATATCCGGGTTTATGTATTAAAACCAGGGATAGAGTGACGCAATCTCAATGCAATTCAACCTGGCTCAAGCTTGGATCAAACATATTTGTGCAGATAGAACCATTTCAATCTCAAAGAGGCTGGTTGATCGATGCGTTTGTGTTTGTTCTTAAAGCAAGAAGTAACATATATCATCATCAAAGTAGGCTTTTTTATTTTTCCGTAACTTAAGATAACCATAAAAGGAACCCGAATTACTTCTCAGGGTTGTGGCCTTGTCTGAACTATGAATATGTCATTCCCTACAACACAACCTTCAACGTCCTGAGGACAGCCAAATTTCTGCTCAAGAAAGAACCCAATAGCACAAAGGCGTTGCCCCAACTGCCTTCTAAAGATAGGATCAACTGTTAATGGCTTCTTACTGTAATCGACAGTTAAACGGGCAACTTCTCCATCTGCAGGGCCAGAACCAAGAACTAGAAGCTCTTCGCTAAAGTTTGCAAAAGCCATGGTACAAACATTGCCATCAAACTTGTTAGAAGTAAATCTCCATGGAACTCCACGAGTTCCTGAAGCTAGAGTTTCCCCTAAGCCCGATGCAATCTCAGCCATGAGAAGCTTGGGGTCATTCTCCACTGGGCTAACGGTGTGTAGAACAAAGGAGAGATTAGGTGAGACCATCTGCTGCACCAAAACAGCCATCTGTGCTTCCCTTTGCGGAACACCAGCAGCTCTACGGCTCAGAATGGCTCGCCTCGTATACAAGGAAGCCCATACACGGCCTATTGCAGCTCCAAAGATGGTTGGGCTCAAGAGGCTGACATTTGGGATGGATTCATACAGTCCAGCAGCTGACATTCCAGCAAGGTCTTCAACATTGGCACTTGATCTTACTATAAGCCGGGCATTGGCTGGAAGAATTCTGCCAATGGCTTCAATGGTTTCTTGAGATGGAGCTTGGGCAGATATCAATGCCTGGAGGTCTAAGCACAGGTGATCAAGTTCACCACCTTCGAGATTAGCTGTTTCTATCTTTTCTAAGAGGGAGAGGAAGGTATCTAGAGAGCCGCTTCGCTCAAGCACTGATTCCATTGATCCAAAGGGTAATATAGCACCTGAGGGGACTTTAAATGAAGCAGGAATGCCCTGATCACTGTAAACTGCCATCAAATGAGCAAAACAAAGGAGGTCAGCATATTAAGCAAAGCGGGGAACTAGATTGCAGCAACATTATTTTTTATTTTTTTAAGTAAAAAGTGGCGAGAGTCACACTTAGCAAGCCTATTAAGAATCATAAAAAAGATTGCTGAATTTAGGCGGTGAAGGGGACATTAAGTGGTGGGAGAGAACATACATGGAATGGAAATAGAAAACAAAGGAGTCTAGGATACAATTATAATTTCATTCGTTCTCAATAAGACAGCATGTTTCCTCATTTACATGGCAGAAAAATTTCTATGGGCGATTTTTTACTTTCAAAAAGCTAGTGTAGGTTGTGAAGAAGTTATTGTGGGTTCCAGCTCGCCTAAGTGGTAAAAATTTTAAAATTTTTTGCTAAGGTCCTTGAATTAAACCCCGCCTACATCAAATTTGTGCTTTGGCACTCAACTTTTCTATCTCCTTTCCACATATCCCACCACATTCAGCTCAACAGAATACACGATAAAACTAAACAGCAGGAATAACATTCAAAGATGATCCAAATAAGGAAAATGACAAATTGATTCCAGTACAAGTTCACAGTTAAGAAGCTGGCTATTTTATTTTAACCAGGCTAGACCTACACGAAGGAAATCACAAATAATTCCTCTATAAAGGAATTAAAATTATACTAAAGACATTAGTTGAAATTGTTCGATTGGTAATACAGAAAAAACAATGGGCAAAACATCAAAGTTACAATGACATTGAAATGCAAGTCACAATGCGAGAGCAGTTTCAGTTTGAATTGTATTGATACTAGAGAAATACATCACAAGATCCAGCTTTTACAAGCGCACTTGCACCAACCTAGAAGCTTATGCCACCATTAAAATAACAACAACAACATCATCAAGGCTTTATCCCACAACATGGGGCTGGCTAAATGAATCATGTCTTCATTGTGTTCTATTGAGAATCAAATTCTCATTTAAATCTAATAAAAAAAAGATCATTTCTAATATTTTCTGATAAAATATTTTTAGGTCTGTCTCTACCAATCTTAACATAGATCAGATCTAATACATCCACTCCCCTAACCAGGTCATTGGAAAGCCAACGTTTTATGTGAACAAACAATCTAAGCGACTCCCTCTAATTTATTCGCAACTAAAGCTACTCCAGCATTTTCACGTATGCACTCATTTCGCATTTTGTCACTAAGAGTGAAGCCACTCATCCACTTGAGCATCCTAATCTTTGCAACACTTAACTTCATTTTATGTTTCTCTTTTAATGGCCAACATTATGCGTCATTAAGCATTGCAAGTCTTACCACCATCTTAGAGAAATTTTCCTTCAATTTAAGGGGTACTTTTCTATCACATAATAGGCTCAATGCATTCCTCTATTTCACCATCACTTTGAACAATAAATGCAAGATATTTAAAATGTGTTATCTTATTAATAACTTGATCGCCCAAAGTCACAATTCCCCTACTAGAACTATTACTACTAAAATTATACTCTATGTATTCAGTTTTAGATCTACTAAAACGAAAACTTTTAGACTAAAAAATTGACCTCCATAATTCAAGTATTCCTTCAACTCCTCCCTCTCTAGTCTTATTAACAAGAAGAATATCATCGGAAAAAGCATACACCATATTACATCCTCTTGCAAATATCTAGTAAGAATATTCAAGCAAAAATATCTGGACTTAAAGCTGGTCCTTGATGTAATCCAATTGAAATAGGAAAATAATTGGTCAAGCCATCTTGTGCTTGAACACAAGTAACAACCCCTGCATACATATCCTTAATGACTAGAATATAAGCATTATTATTTTTTTTTTTTCTAGAACTCTCCAGAGCACTTCTCTTGGAACATGATTTCTCTAAATCAATAAATATCATATGTTGATCATTCTTATTCTCTCTATACTTCTCCATCAATGTATAGCTTCCATACACCCCAACCAAAATGCAAAAGCCACTCATTGGCATGCTATAGCTGCCAGTATTCAGAGAATTATTCTTCTTGAAGTGATTTTAGCACGTGATCTCTTCTTTAGAGTGTACAAGCAAATTAATAAGCATAATGATGTTAATTTTCACTTATCATGATTTATTGATTGTGAAAGAAAAGCTATTTTTTGTCCTGCCTGAGATCCTCAATCTTTTATAGGACATCATAACTGCCAAAAAATATACACCATAAGTCGTACATCGTTATCTATACGAAAGTTCAATTTGGGTAGTTAGACCTACTTGAACTGCCCAAGGAACATCAAGAGGGGGGGGGGGGGGGGGGTTGAATTGGTGTTTTAAAAAATTCTTTTAAAAAAATCTATTTTTGAATGTTTAAACCAAATTCACAACTTAAGTTTAAAATCAGATCTTATAATGCGGAAGCTAATGATATGAAAAATCAAATTCTATTTTTTGTTTTGATTTTGTAAAAAAAAAATGAGAATATGTTTTCCTTCACTTTTTATTTTCAGATTTTACTTCTTTTTCTTTTCTAACAAAAGTTAAATAAAAAACAATCTCAATATTTTCAACTCATATTTGCATGAAAAGTAAACATATGAGGAATAAAAATGCAAAAAATAAAAGTGCTAATAAAAAGCAAGAACGAGCACCCTAGAAATTTATAATGGTTCGGTTAACCTTGACCTACGACTACTCCCCAGAGTCTTCCTCTTCGAGTATTGCACTAAATCTTTTAGTGACTCTCCTTTAGCTCCTCCAACAAGGGGGATAAGCCCTTACAAAATAACTTTCACCATTCCACGGTGCTCCTGAGAACCTAAATTCTTTTCAACGAGGTAGAAAGCCTAGAATCCTTTGCACCTTCTTAGTGAGGCAGAGAACTCGATGATCTTTGGCCGTGAAGAATTTCTCATCGGAGCAATCGAGGGTACTCTCTATTCGAATGCGCTTTGTTCAAATGCAGAAAGCAATTGACGGGGGAGGAGAAGGAATGGGAATCGGTTAATGCTTTATTGCTATATATATTAATATACTAATGTTTATTTTCCACTAATGCTCCACTATCACCCATCTAATCCCTCTCAGCCGTATGATTTTATCAAACCAATGCATGCTTGGCAAAGGGGAACTGTAGTGGAAACTAGCAACAATAAGGAATAGTTAATTTCCATTGAATTTCGACTTAATTAAGAAATAGTAGTTGTAGACTTTAGTGGAAACAATTAAACTTGATTTAATTGAAATTAAGGATATTATACTCCCTCTCGCACAACTTCTCCTTCTTCCTCTCTCTAAAAGACCTCTCAAGCACTGTTACATAAATTTCGCAATAGCCAAAGACATTTACAAAGTCTAATGAGAGAGCTTTAATACGAGGATTGAAAAAATCATAAATTTTCAATTCTGCCACTTCTAATTGTACAATACGATCGGGGATCGTACAATACAATTAGGTTATTTTATCTTATTAGTATTATACGATGAATATGGATCTGTACGATTAGTTCAAACACTTGAATTGCTCGTCTAGGACAAAAACAAGAGTCGTACAGTACGATTAGTTTAATCGAATAGGATTTTCATACATGACGATCGATGGCAATTAATTATCATCCTGGGAGAAAATCGAGTCATACAGTACGATGCAGGCTAAAGTACAATCGGAAGTATGAATTAATCCTAGTTCGATTCCCTAATTACTGTATTAGATTAGGCAAGATTTAATGAAATCGTACAGTACCATAGGGATCGTACGATACGAATAGTTTAAACTTTGAAATTCAAAATAATTTGTGATTGGCGGCAAGGGTTTTGAGTTCTACTGATCGTCCTGTAGAATTATGAACACATTAAGATCATTACACATTCAAATAGTCTTAATTAAATGTTTTAATTAATCACTGGTTTACTCATATCGTACAGTACAACCCAGATCGTATAGTAGGATCTTCACAGAAATTAAAACATTTAATTTTTCTTCTCGATGCGTGTGTGCATGGTTGCTAAGCTGGCATACACCTTTTACAAGACTTTTGCTCAAGTAATATAAAAAATAAATAAATCAAAATACATACAGTTGCAAAAATGTCAAACATATTCTATCCAATCTTGAGTCAAGCCTTCTGCATAGTGTACAACGTAACTGAAATATTAGTGTGCACAAAACAAACATCCAATAACAATATCAGAAGAACCAAAATAGAAGCCCAATAATGTTTGTTATCATCAAAATTATAAACTCGAGATCTTGGATTGCTACATATATATTATTTGAACATGGATTGGTGTTTGAGAGTGCAGATAGCACTTCATCTAAGCTATTTAAAATTTTATGGATAACTATATATTATTGGAACATGGATTGGTGCTTGAGAGCACAACTAGCATTTTTTACTTTAATGAATTTATTCCAAAGTAAAAAAAAAATCATAAGATTAACCGAGATCGAGTAAATGAGATGAACCACCCCAAAAATTTTCTTTTGTACGAAAAACTGATTATGACCCACAATTTCAATTGACAGTGATACAAGACTATTATTTGGCTCAATACGTTGAATAAATAAGCATAATTTTATGTTTGTATTTAGCTTGTTAACTTATCAAGTCGAGCACAATTTAATTATGAACATAGTTTATTTGAAAATCATTTTAAACATTGAACGTATACAAATCATTATATATATATATATATATATATATTAGTTCAAGAAAAAAAATTCTTCAAAATAATATATCCATGCTTCACAACGGTACAAGGAGATATAATGTCGTAGAATTACAAGTCATACTCGTACAACACAAGAAGAAAACATACATCAAACATGCATAAATATTAAAACTGAAAAAAGAATTTATATTCAATCAAAGTTCATAATTTATGCCTTATGACATCTATTTATAGACTCCTCATCAATAGATTGATAGACATAGTTGGCACAAGATAAACTCAATTTGATTCTAGATATCCATCAAGTTCACACTAGAGCCTCATTAAAATATAAAGTATTTAAAATCTCAAATTA